GCTTTGTTCCATTCTTCGGCTCGGATGAACTTATCCGAGGCATTCAGAGCTTCCTCCAAGGACTGCGGGGTATGCATGACCATGAAGTCTAGGAACTTCCCGGGCTGAAGGCCATTCTGCATTGCAAAAACGGCTAACCCCTGGTCCAGCTGAGAGACGCTGGATGACTCGTTACTGAAACGGGTCAGATAGTCTCGGAGGCTTTCGGTTTCCCCCTGTTGCAGACTCATGAGTTCTGCAGTAGTCTTCTCTCGGCGGTTTGCCGTGGAAAACTTGCTCCTAAATTTGGAGGACAAATCATCCCACCCTGTTATGGAGCCTTGCTTTACTCCCTTGGAGATCCACGCTTGCGCGACCCCCTTGAGAGTGGTTGGGAAATATTTGCACCAAGTCTCTTCCAGTATCCATTGCTCGAATGGCGAACTGGCGGGTAGCATAACGACCTTGCCCTTGTTCCTGGCCGAAGGGACCACGCTCCGCCCTCTTAGAGAGGTAGGAGTGGTTTTCGTCCCTGGCTGGGAAGTCTGGGCCTCGGCCGCAGGGAACGAGAGGCGACTGTGCACGCTCGGTTCCTTGCCGCCGAGTCGGTCGAGGACGCTTCGGCGAACAGTCTCAGGTTGTTCTCGGTGAGTAGATTCTGGCCGAGAAGCTAAGCTGCTGCTTTTATGCGTTTCTGGTCGGGAGGATGAGGATCCTTTGAAAAATTGAGGGTTCTTTTTCCTCTCTTTTTCATTTTTCCAGGTATCCTCTTCCCACTCTTCCAGTTCCCGGAATGAAGGAAGCTTCCCACCATCATGGTCTAGCTTCCTCCGTTGATGTCGGGTATGCGGAGGAGTTCGATCACGAGGTGGTGGCATATTTTGTGCCCTCATTGCCTCCATGAGCACTCCCAGCGCTCTTGCCACCTCCTCCGAGCTAGGACCCGTCAAAGGGGTCCTCGGCCGAGTATGGGAATGAGGGCGCACAGTCGATGGTTGGCTTTGGGGCACTGAATGTGTCCTATGATCGGACTCACCCCTGCTAGACCGAGAGTGACTCGGCCTATGATGAGAGTTATGAATTACGGGAGAAAGGGAATCCTCCCTATATGATCCTCCCCCCGAGCTGGCACCCTTGGGAGAGTTCCGGTCCGGCGAGGGTGATGGTGTAGGGGTTTTAGGCTTTTCGCCCGCTCCTTGACGGAGGCCTTTGCTCTTGCGGTTCTTAGCCATTGCTACTAAGATAATTGCAAGATGATCTTGGTTAGAAATTTGGCTTAAAGATTTTTGAAAGTCGTTCCCCACAGACGGCGCCAAATTGTTTCGGGTGAAAACAATGGGACCTTGTCGAAGGTCCGATGAAGTGGAGAAGACTAGATTCGATCCAAGTAATGTTGGGCCGAAGGTTTCCTGCACAGTTAACACACGTAAACTAGCCTCGGGGGTGTTGCCGAGGAAGGCCCCTCCGATGCTAAAGTCAGTACAGTGCGTAGAAAGAGAACACTATGCAAGAGAATTAATTGCTTGAGACTTTGCTTGAATGAATGTACAAATGTAATATTGATGGCTTTTATACCTCTGCATACATGGAGAAGTTGGGCCTTAGCCCAATTGGCTTTCCTTGAGGACTGATCTTTGACTTTAGCACAATTGGAGAGATGAACCTTGACCTTGGGCTTTTAATTGGATCATTTAATGCCTAAGCCCAATTGGACTAAATTGGACCCAAACAACAAGTTTCCTACGCTTGTATCGTACCATCACCTTTCCTTTCGGACTCCATACTATTTCATTATATTCAGTCTCTGGGAACGGTGAAGTCAACTCGAGCTCAAAGTTCCGAATCAAATAGCTCCATATAATGTTTATCTCCAAGTATGCAAGTGTCTCACCAATGCAACTATGCTTGCCTCCACCAAACGATAAGAACGAGAACGGGCCAGCCAATCTATCCTCCTCTCTTCCGGGGCAAAACCTTTCAGGATCGTAACTATCAAGATTTGTGTAAATATGTGCAACACGATTAGACAAAACCGGTGAGGAACAGAAAGTATACTTCGAGGAAAGGGCCGCTTATCGAGAAAAGGAAGATGAGGAACATAATTTAGATATATTTCTGGTTGATATATTTCTGGTTATAACAAACTACATGAAGCCCGTGCGATGCACGGTTTGTTTGATTTTTTTTAAATAATGTTTTTTTTTTTGTATTTATGAGCCTAAAATGTGTTATATATTTAGATAAAATTCCTAATATTAAATTATAATATATAATATTTAATTAATTTAAACCTAAAAATCTCATTCGCCAATTTTGCTTACATGGCATTTGAATTATTTAATTCTAAAAGAAATTAATAATCTTTTATTTAATTGGCTACTAATAAGATTTATAATCCTAAAAACTCGGGAAAAAACTCCCTTTTATATATATATATATATATATATATATATATTAGATTACATGACCAGTTAGGCCCATTTTAAGCGAATTAATTATAAAGATCGGATTATTTAAAAATAACCCAAATGTCACTACTAGAAAACAGGTTATTTCCGACGGACATTGAAATCCGTCGGAAAGTACGAAAATTCCAATGGATTTTATTTTCGTCGAAAAATCCGTCGGAAATTTCCGACTGAATTGTAATCTGTCAGAAAATTCTTTACTTTCGACGGGAAATCCATCGGAAGTGTTATATTTTCCGACGAAATTTAATACCTTTTCGACGGAATTTAAGTTTCTTTTAAAAATAAAAAAATAAAAATCCCCCAAAACCCTAATATTTTCTGTGCCCCCCCTCCATTTATTTTTCACTTATCTCTCTCTCCTCTCACCCCGCTTCTCTTCTTCTTCTCTCTCCTCTTTTCTGCTTCTCTCTCTTCTCCTCTCTTCCTCACGTCTCTTTCTTCTCCTCTTTTTTCCTCACTTCTTTTCTTTCCTTACTTCTCTTTCTTCTCCTCTTCTTTCCTCACTTCTCCTCTTCTCTAATCTTCTCAATTTTCTAAAAATGTGACGCAAGGATGGAACTCACGGATCTCCTCATCAATTCTCTATTTTCCTCACGAATCTCCTCTCTCCTCTCTAGTCTTCTCTATTTCATTCATATTAATGGTTTATATGGTCAAATTCGACTATAAATCTCTAGATCTAGAGATTTCATGGCCGAATTAAGCCGTATTAAACCAAATTCGAGGAGAAATTAACATTCTAATTCGTATTAAGGTATGTATTGTTTTTTTTTCAATTTTTTTGGTTTTTTTATATTTTTTTGGTTGTACTTGTGGTTTTCGGCTGTTGTGGTTGTATTTTTTTTTTTGTTAATTTTGGGGTGTTTGCTGCAGATCTGGGTTGGTTAGGGTTAAGTGGGGTGGGTTCGGGTGGTGGGTTTGGTTAAGTGGGGTGGGTTCGGGTGGTGGGTAGGTTAAGTCATGGCAGATTTATTTTTTATTTCTGGGTTCGGGTGGTGGGTGGTGGTGGGTTAAGTCGTGGTAAAGGTAATGGGTTGTGGTGGTTGGAGGCGGTGAGAAGCCGTGCCAGTGGTGGCGCGACTTTTTTTTATAATTTCGTAAAATAATTTTCCGACGGAAATTCCGTCGTAACTTTCCAACGGGAATCAGTCGGAATTTGCGTCGGATTTTTCCTACACCAGAAAACCCCTTTTCGAGGGAAAAATCCGTCGGAAATCCGTCAAAAAAGTGTTTTCGACGGAATTTCCGACAAAAATACTGGTTTTTCCTACAACCCCGTTTTCGACAACCATTTCCGACGGAAACGCCATTTCAGGGTGTTTTTGACGAAAAAGTTTCGTTGAAAATGGTCTGTTTTCTAGTAGTGTGTGGGATTGTTTTAGGCGGACACCCTAAAGGTGGGATTATTTCGGACAATTTTTTAGTTATTATAAATAAATATAGAAATTTATACATCTTTGATGATATTGTTTCCATATGTATAACTCAGTTTAAAGTTTATAGATTGTTTGATTTTGTTAGTTAACTAAATTAGTGGAAAATATGAATTATTTCAAATTTGGTAGAGTTTTTTTTTTGTCATTTGTAGGTTTCATATGCTTTTAAAATGATGGTATTTTACATTAGATTATAGTTTTCACTGTTAGATAGTTGTAGCTAAGTATATTGGATATGTTATAGGGTTTATTTTTGAGACATATGATAGAAATATTGAAAAATAATAACGTTATAACTTGTAGATGCGTGGAGTTTTATGAGAGTGAATTTGCTATAATATAATAATGTGGCTGGATGAATAGTTTAGCACGATAAAACTATAAAAGTAATATGGGTACAATGAAAGTGAAAGTAGGGGCACCCATTATTTGGATAGAAACCAAAGTCCAATCCAAACCAAATTACCATGAATCAAATCTAAACTTGAAATCAATCGGATCGGATTGAACTTTTTTGAAAATTCAGATTTTTGAATTAGATTGAATTGATCTTATTCAGATACTAAAAACCGATATAACCAAAATATATATGAAAGTTTTATTTTATAAGTAAGTATTGTTAATATTAATCATGTTAAACTATGTTTATGAATATACTAATATTAATTATGTGAAAAGGGCTTTTTAAGTGGTTAACTTTTTGAAAAAGGACCTTTTAAGTCGCATTTAGTTTGTATGGGGTATTTCGGTAAGCTTGTGTGGTGATCAGTGCCGGAACTACGGGGTTGACAATCACGTGTTGGTCACATGACTTTTTTTTTTAAAAAAATTAAAAAATCCCCAAATTTCTCTCCTATGGTTAGGTCGGGAAAGAAGGGAAATTTAGAATTTCTTTTTTAAATAAGTCATGTGACTAACACGTGATAGTCAACGCCGGATAGTCAATGCCGGAGCTCCGGCGTTGACCACCACTCAAGTTCACCCAAGTTCCCATACAAACAAAATGCAACTTAAAATGTCCTTTTTGACAATTTTTCACTTAAAAGGTCCTTTTTTCAAAAAGTCGAACACTTAAAAAGTCATTTTTCACAATTGTCTCTTATTTGTTTTCTCTTTCGGTTGTTCGTTAAATATAAAAAAGCATTTGCGTCATTGGATAGTTTCTTAAAACAAACTTTATTACAAACGAAGACCGAGTTAGTTGAAGAATTGTACAATCCCAACATTTACTCAATAACAAGTTTCCTACGCTTGTATCGTACCATCACCTTTCCTTTCGGACTCCATACTATTTCATTATATTCAGTCTCTGGGAACGGTGAAGTCAACTCGAGCTCAAAGTTCCGAATCAAATAGCTCCATATAGTGTTTATCTCCAAGTATGCAAATGTCTCACCAATGCAACTATGCTTGCCTCCACCAAACGATAAGAACGAGAATGGGCCAGCCAATCTATCCTCCTCTCTTCCAGGGCAAAACCTTTCAGGATCGTAACTATCAAGATTTGTGTAAATATGTGGAACACGATTAGACAAAACTGGTGAGGCTGCGATTATATGGCCTTTTGGGATTTCGTACTTGTCACCCTTTCGAGTAGTCACACTAAAATCTTTATGGGATTTACGCAATAGCATTGCTAGTGGCGGGTGTAGCCTCAATGCTTCTTTGATGCAACGGTATAAAAGATGCATATCAGATATTACATCATATGTTATCGCGTCTCCATGTTTTTTCATCAACCTTCTCTGCTCTTCCACAGCATCAGACCAGAACTTCTTATAGTGAACAAGGTAAGCACCTGTCCAAGTAGCCGTAGCAGAACCTGAACGTTGACCGCCATAGAGGGCAGTAATGAGCATACCTGTTACCTCTGTAACGGTTGTGGCACGACCATCTTTGTACTTGGAGTTAATAAGACTCTGCAGCATGTCATCCTCGGATTTTGGTGATGATCTACGAGAAGATATTATGTTTGAGAAAATGTTATCTAGTCTTTTACGGGCTTTGTCGCGGCGCCGGTGAGGTGGGATGGGTAGATGAGGGAACAATGTTGTTAGAGGACCCATTGCAACATTGATTTCATAGATAAGGGTAGCTATGTCTTCCGAGAGACTTTCACGGACTTCTTGACCAAGAAAACATCGACTTGCTATTAAGATGATGAGATTCTCCATTTCTTGTTTTAAATCTACTTCACCAATATCTTCCCATTTGGAAAAATAATCCTGCGTAATGTTGAAATGAATTGAGAATCATCAACGAACTATTAAAAGACAGATCTTAGTACCTCAATATTTTTATTTTATTTTTTTTAAAGTAGGGGTACCTCTTTTTTTCATATTTGGGTTACTGTAAAACTGTAAACTTTGGCTTGATCTTATTAGCTTCATGAGCCCAATATTTATAATAATACAAAACTAGTTTCCTAAGCCTACACCAACTCGTGTTTAACAGCTAAGGAAAACAAAGATAATATGGCAACTCTATTCTAGAGATATGGAAATAATAATATCTAAATAATATCTAGATCAAATATTTCCTAAATATATCTTAACACCCCCCCTCAAGTTGGAGCATGAGGGTCGAAAATGCCCAACTTGGAAAGAAGATAGTCAAACTGAGTCTTCCCGAGTGCTTTTGTGAATATATCCGCCAATTGATCCTTAGTAGACACATGGGATGTTGAAATTAAGCCTTCATTGATCGCATCACGAACAAAATGGCAATCGACCTCTATGTGTTTCTTACGCTCATGAAAAACAGGGTTCCTTGCGATATGTAACGCAGACTGACTATCACAAAACAACTTGATTGCTTTTGGATGTTGAATACCCATACTCAACAATAAGCCTTTGAGCCACTTTAATTCACAAGTGGCCCCAAACATAGACCTGTATCCGCCTCTGTAGAAGAAAAGAAATTGTAGGCTGTTTTTTAGTTTTCCATGAAATCGGAGATTTTCCGAGAAACACTAACCATCCGATCAACGAGCGTCGTGTGAAAGGACACGAGCGTCGTGTGAAAGGACACTAACCTCTAGGGTGAGCTCACTATCTGAATGCAACAATATTCCTTGTCCTGGAGTTCCTTTTAGATAACGCACGACCCTCAAAGCAGCTTCCCAATGTTCGATGCGAGGTTGTTGCATGAACTGGGATAGAATGTGAACGGAGTAAGCAAGGTCCGGTCGCGTAACTGCCAGATATATGAGTCGTCCCACTAGACGACGATATGCTTCGGGATTGTGCAACAATTCGCCACTAGCATGAGAAAGTCTATGATTTTGTTCCATGGGAAACCCACTTGGCTTTGCTCCCAATAGACCTGTTTCAGAAATAATATCCAAAGTATACTTTCTTTGGCACAGAAACAACCCGAAAGTACTACGAGCCACCTCAATGCCCAAAAAATATTTAAGAGGTCCAAGATCTTTCATTTTAAAACAATCACTAAGATATGCCTTGAAAACCTTTAGTGCAGCGGAATCGTTCCCAGAAATAATAAGATCATCCACATAAACTAAGACATTTATTTGGGTTTTTCCATTAGTATATGTGAATAAAGAATAATCAGAGTAGGCTTGGAGAAAACCATACCGTTTTAAAGCCGACGACAATTTTGCATACCAACACCTAGGGGCTTGTTTCAAGCCATATAAAGACTTGCGCAATCTACACACCAAAGAAGGATCCGGGCTTTCGAACCCGGGGGAAGCTTCATGTAAACCTCTTCTTTCAGGTCACCATGTAGAAAAGCATTCTGAACATCCATTTGATGTATCTCCCAATTTTTGCAAGCCGCTATTGCAAGAAAGGCACGAACTGTAGTCATTTTGGCAACCGGAGCAAAAGTTTCTTCATAGTCAATACCGGCTTGTTGATGATTACCGAACACCAATAATCTTGATTTGAGTCGCTCAATATCTCCATTGGATAAGTACTTGGTCTTATAGACCCATTGACTGCCGAGAGCACGTTTCCCGGGAGGAAGATGTTCCAAAGTCCATGTACCATTATTTTCTAGAGCACGAATATCTTCCTTCATAGATTGTCGCCACTCATCATGTTTCATGGCTTCCTTGAAAGATTTTGGGTCTTTACCCTTGATAACAGCTGCAAGAAATTTCTGATAATTGCTAGAAAAATTGACACAATTTATGTAATGTGCTAAAGGATAAGGAGTACCTGAGGAGCGATCACAACGGGGGGTGGGGGGGGGAAGAGGACTATTAGCAAAAACCGTATGTGTCACAAAATCACGATGCTTGACATTTGGAAACTTTTATCGAAATCCACGACCCATTTGTTGATCACAACCGGCCATGTCTTCAGCATTGTCACCGGTGCTTGTTGCATTGTAGGCCTCATTAGAGGTTTCTGAAGTGGGCTGCATATGCATAGGCCCAACTGGCGCTAGTCTTCCAGCGGTTGAAGAAGAAGCAGCATTGGGCTGCGAATTGGAAGACCCAGCAGCCGATGTGTTTCCAGCGGCCTGAGCATACTCCAACTCGGGCTGCTGGTTGGGAGGCCCATTGAGCGCTGATGATGGTGGACATGTCGCTGGTTCATGACTAGGGCCCAATTCGATGACCTGTTCTTCTAAATTACCTCCAACATCCAATTTCTCCCCGAAAATAATTTCAGAAAAATCCTCATGAATATCTTGAGCATCATACTCACTATGTGAAATGTTCACAGCTTCAGGACTCTCAAAAGGAAAAACCTCTTCAATAAATTTGACATCCCTTGAGACAAAAAATTTTTTCGTAGTCAAATCAAACAACCTCCACCCCTTTTTACCAAACGGATATGCCATGAACACACACTTTCTACTGCGACTAGCAAATTTGTCTCCCTTTTATTTCTGATTATGAGTAAAGCATAAACACCCAAAGGTTCGAATGGCATCAAAAGAGGGTGATTTGTCAAAGAGAATTTCAAAGGGTGTTTTAGTTTGTAAAAGGGCAGTTGGAGTACGGTTGATCAAATGAGCGGCTGTGAGAACACATTCACCCCAAAAATAAATGGGCAATTTTGCTTGAAACCTCAAAGCTCGACTAACATTCAAAATATGTTTATGTTTTCTCTCAACACGCCCATTTTGTTGAGGAGTTCCTACACAAGATGTTTGAAACAGAATTCCAGTGGCCCGAAAATAGTCAAGCAAACAATTAAATTCAGTCCCATTATCACTTTGAACGACTTTAATTGTTTGAGAGAATTGTCTCTCAACCATTGCAACAAACGCCATAAACATTTGAAAAACTTCTAATTTATCAACTAACAAATAAATCCAAACTTCTCTTGAAAAATCATCAACAATAGTAAAAAAATAACGAGCTCCACATGACGAAGTATGTCGATATGGACCCCACAAATCACAATGTAATTTCTCAAATATACGAGAAGCTTTATTATCACTTAAAGGAAACTTATCTCTCGGATGTTTAGCATGCATACACACCTCACACCCTATGTCTAGATGATCTTTACTACCACTAACAGTAGGAATCAACTTAACTACTTTTTCGGAAGGATGTCCAAGACGACGATGCCACAACTCCAACTTTGATGTAGCTTCAATAGTAAACACAAATTTCGGTTTGCTAAAATAATATAGTCCATCCCTCCTAAGTCCCGTTCCAATCAGCTCCTTCGCTTGGTCCTGTATAGCACAAACATGCGAATCAAATTGTACAATAGTGTTAGAATCATCATTAAGTTGAGAAACAGAAAGTAAATTGCAACTCAAATTTGGTACATAAAGGACTCCGGTTAGAGTAATTTTATCCGATAAACAAACGGATCCCACCAAAGTAGCAATTACTTTTGCACCATTCGGCAGCCCAACAGGGCATTCAATATTTTTCGTATCAACTAGCCAAGAGCTATTTTCGGTGACATGATGAGTCGCGCCGGTATCAATTATCCAAGATGAAACATCAAACTTACCGGTCAATCTATTTTCCGGAATTTGAGCATTACCCATAACACCCGCAATAGCCTTCCACTGTTCGGGGGTAAGTAAAGACTGACTGCCACTGGTGGCTGCATTAGCACGTGGCTGTCCACGACCTTGCCCCTGCTTTCTATTATCTGGCCTTCCCACAAGCTCATAGCAGTGGGTTTCGGGATGACCTTTCTTCTTACAATATCCACACACAATGTCTGCCCAACAGCTCGAGGTTTCATGGCCAGTCCTGCGGCACTTAGAACATACAATTTTATCATTGTTCCTACCTCTACCACGAGCCGCCGCTGCCACATCATTGCCTGCACGCACAGCGAACCCAACGGGGTCAGGTGGTGTGGATTCGACTTCCTGCTTTGTTGATCGAACACGCTCTTCTTGAGTTACCAATTGATAGGCTCTGTCAAGACTCGGAAGCGGATCCTGAGATAAAATTTGTGTACGCAAGGCAGAGTAATAATCTGGGAATAAACCCATTAAGAAATCGTGTAACCGGGCTTGTGCTCGTCGCTCTTCATGCAATTTTCCGGATGTACACGAAGCACAACAGGAACAAGAAATCAAAGGCTCATGTCTATCTAATTCCTGCCACAAAGTATGTAATTTGCCATAATACACATAGACCGACATTAACTTAGTTTGCTCACACTTTGCAATCGAGGAACGCAATTGTTGAATGCGAGGTCCGTTTGTTTGAGCAAAGCGTTGCTTAAGATGATCCCAAAAGGATTTTGCTTCTCTAAATTTTGTCAGGGTTGTTCTTAAATCAGGATCAATGGTATTAGAAATCCAAGAAACAAGCATTGCATTTATCGCCGTCCAATCGGACTTCGTGCAAGGAGGGGATGGAGTAGTGATCGTGCCATCCAAGAACTCAAATTTCCTTCGAGCTTCTAACGCCGTTTGAATGTCGGCAGCCTAAGAGTCATAATTATATGTTGTTAAGCGGGTGGGAGTGATGAAATCCCCCGGTCGATCTTGAGAACCAAGGTAATATGGAGAATTTGGTTCAATTTTTGGAGGTGGTGGTGGTGGTTGATCATCACCGCCAGCCATGGTTTATGAAGTGTATGAAAACCTTTCGTCTGATACCATGTAAAACTGTAAACTTTGGCTTGATCTTATTAGCTTCATGAGCCCACTATTTATAATAATACAAAACTAGTTTCCTAAGCCTACACCAACTCGTGTTTAACAGCTAAGGAAAACAAAGATAATATGACAACTCTATTCTAGAGATATGGAAATAATAATATCTAAATAATATCTAGACTAAATATTTCCTAAATATATCTTAACAGTTACACACTTGACACATTAAGCTTTAAATTTTCTCATTTGTGATGTGCAAATACTTTAATTTTAGTTGACTTACAGTAATATTTTAGGCACTTTTGGCGTTAGCAAGCATGATTTCAAAACTGGGATACCAGCCATTGATCCATTATTGATGAAAAAAAATATATAAAAAGTTTGTACTTGGAAAATGTGAAGATCTTATAATTTAAAGTATAGTTGCCTAGTTGGAGTATATTTACATGTTAAAAAATGGTATCTCCCATCCCGGGGTAGGAGTGCAGTAGGTATAAGAAAGAAAAACAATACTTGTATCACAACAGTCCAAGCTCCCCTCCGTAAAATAAGTAGTGAATAATTGAATAAAATAAGAAAGAAATATAGGTCTGTATCAAATAATTAAAAATAAAAAAAAAAATTTAAAAAAAAGGGGGGTGGGGGGGGGGGGGGGGTTTGAGGGGAGGGTTATTAAAAAAATTGACAAGTAAAAGTGTTACATTAAAGTGGTGGATCTAGGATTTTATAGGTAGTGGGTCAATATCAACCATCAACTTTAGTTTCTTCAAAATCTAAACCCCCAAAGAGGGAGGTTATATATTGATGGCAAACAACAATCGAGGATAATTTAATTGAGTAATTGCATATTTATTTATCACAGCTAGTAAAACTGAACAAAGAGCATACCCAATTACAAGACTACTATTTGTCAAAATAATTACAAGACTACTAGTTGCGTAATATTGCTTTGTAGCCTCCTTATCACAAATTTGGTTAAAAATTGTCAAATTCCTACAAAATTTGGTACTCCATACACCTAGAAAAAATTTCTTGTTATGATTGACAAAATAGAACGTTGGGAATAATGGGTAGATCTAAATTACAAAAAATCACAACCAAATTTGACTAACAAAATTAGAAATACTCTAACAAGACTTGCTTAATCAAAGAGCATCCCTTAGTACCCTTATAATGCTACCCATAGTAGTATTGCATAAGATAAATTAAAGGAATAATTTAAATAAGTTAATTATTATTTTTATTTTTTTTGAATAATTTAAATAAGTAAATTAATATATATATATAAATATGATTAAAAATACATGTATGTACAAAATAAAATGTCAGGGAAAAAAAAAAAAAACAAGCCATAAAGTGGTTGTTGTGGAACTTGCTCCCACGCCACCTTGAGGAGAAACCTCACCTAAAGCTTCTAACCACTGAATCATAGATAATTTATTTTAACCGTTAAACTTCCTGGTTCATGTGACCCAGCATGAACAACACTGGGTCCGCCACTGTTACATTTAATAATTAAAAGCCAAAAGAAAAATGTTACTTAGGGTCTGTTTTGATTGACTGAACTCAGCTGAACTGAACTGAACTGAGCTGAACTGAACTGAGCTGAACTGAACTGAACTGAACTGAACTGAACTTATTAATTAGTGATTTTTAACTACGGATTAGTGATCTTTGATAATTTATTGATTATTTATTACTATACATATGTGTATATACAAATGTACATATTAAAATATTTACGAAAAATGTACTATATGATTATAAAATTTATGGAAAATATATTAGAAACTTGAAACCTCTAAACATTTTAAACACATATACTATTTAATTTTAAAATAAAATAGTATTATGACAAAAGAACAAAAAACACTTACATGTATCTAACCCATTTAAACAAATTTAAAAAAATATATTTAAAAATAAAGAAAAAGAAAAAAACACGAAAAGCTAACAGAGGCAACGACCCAACAGTCCAACACCCTAACCCACTCTCTTTAATGTTTTAATTAATACATGTATCTAACTAGTATTATTATTGTCGTTGTAATAAGAGTTTAAAAGAATGAAATTTGGCTTTATATCATTAGCAATATCATTAAACATATATTAAGAGCTGAACTGAACTGAACTGAATTGAATTGAACTGAACTGAATTTCAATGGAAGAGAACAGGCCCTTATCCAGTACTCCTAAACATCAAAAAGTGTACTCATAAAAAGTATAGAACACAGAATTATATAAAAAAAAAATTAAAAAAAAAAATATTGTGGGATTATCCTGTACAAAATGATGATTACATTTACTCCCTCTATTTTTGTAAAAGCATCATTTTGATTTTTACATTATTCACGTACAAATATATATATATATGGTTGGGATCCAATGAGAAGTTTTTTAAAATGTGAAGGATGAAATGTGTATAATTTTTTCACTAAATGTGCATTTTTTTTCACAAAATGTGCATAACTGATTTTCTAATTAATATAGATTTTGATTTTTCTGGAAAACTAGAAAATGTGCACTCATATTAAGAAACTTCTCCTTTGACCCTATATATATATATATATATATATATATATATATATATATCGCCAACTATGCCGATCAAAATGATTCATTATATTTAAACAAAATAGGAGTAAATATCAATAGAAATATATATACAAGTAAATAAAATTTGTATATGAGTAATGCAAAAAGAGCATTCGAAATCAAGGGATTAATTTTTAAGCTAGCACAAACTCTGTTGTACCAATTGAAGAACATAAAGAGTAATAAAATAGAGAAAATAGAAACCAGACCTTAACTTCTAGGCTCATATAATCAACAAAACCACGGAGTTTATCGATACGAAAAGACTTCTCAAAGAAGTGAAACTGCTCCTTACGCACTGAATACTCTGCGTCATACACGATCCCAGGTCCAAATATAGGCACGGTGAACCCGTACACTTCTTTCTGACTTAATTCACTCTCGCCGGCCTTAAAGAAGTAAGTCGATACGTCGGGTTCGAGTAAGAACGTTATTTTCTTGTACACTACATCTATAGTGAATACACTTCCAAGGTTCTGGTGTTGGTAAAACAACTGTTGAAATCAATAACAAACAATAAAAGATTAGGACTTTCCTGGATTGAAGATCCCAAACTCACAATTGTGCCGTGTAACAATAATCCACTGCCTTAGAAGCGAAATACGCCACCACCGGTACAAGTTTCCTAGTGACGCACGCCCCCCAAGTTTAACGCAACTCTCTCAGTAATCCGTGCACCCGAACTCGAAGAGTGGAATTGCTCAAGAACTGTTCAGATCTCAAAAGGTATGTTTGTGTTTTCGGCTAGAAAAGTGAATAATGTCACGAAAAGGTAAGACTCGTATTTATATGAGTCCTAGAAAAGGAAACACGTAATCAAACCAACCTAGGAAAAAAGGCGCGAGATCAGGTTTTTCCAGACGTAGTGTCGCGCCCGGTCGGGCGGACAGCGCCTGGTCGGGCGATATGAAATCCCCATTCCGGGCGAGCCATCGAGCTCGTCAAAAACTTGAGTCCGCCGCCCGGTCGGGCGAAGCCCGCCAGATCGGGCGCGAGAGATCTCGTAGAAAAAATCTTGTCTGCCGCCCGGTCGGGCGAAGCCGCCCGATCGAGCGCGAGAGTTCCCGATTTTTCCTTGACCACCTTCGCCCGATGCCCGATCGGGCGCAAGTTATCCATTTGCATTACTATTTCCAACAATCCCCCACTAATGCGAGCGGATCTTCGACATGAAATCTGAACAGTAAATGAAAGTCTTAGTACTTAAATGCTAGTATCTAAAGGTTTGAACTAACACATTAGTGCACAAGGTTTTCAACACTTCCCTAGTGAGTATCCTAAGATTTGAACTCCTAGGAGCGAGGAAGGGACCTTGAATACACATACCTTGACTTTAGAGCTTAAGCAACTCCACCAATCTTGGCCTACATCTTGGGCTCTCATGAGTACTTCAGGAAAACTACACCACAATTTTCCCTTGAAGGAGGCCACCCCTCGTACTCACGTAGGTGTTCCATCTGTGTATAAAATACACATTCCTAGCACATCTAGAGTCTTTCCTTGTAGGCTTAAAACACATTCAAGCACCTTGCAAATCCAAGATTTTTTGTGCAATGGAATAAGAACATTAAGAACGAAAAAGTTCAACCCTATCAACTCGTCGGTGCATCTATCAATCCATTACTCAACGAGCTCTTAGGCTAGATGCATTAAGGGATACTCCCAACCTTAGTCATTCGGTACCACTATCGTTCCCTACTCGAGTAATAACTGGGCTAGTGATTCTAAGTCATTTAAGGATCACTATTGTTCCCTACTCTTAAGCAACTGGACTAGTAGTACTAAGAGCAAGCAATGCTCAACCTTCCACCTTCGGTGTCATTATCAATCCTACTCTAAGAGCCACTGGGCTAATGGTCTTAAACCCACTTAAGAACCATTATCAATCCCTGCTCAAAGATTAACTGGACAAATGACATTAAGAGCCACGCTCAACCTTACTAAATCCACCTGATCAACAAACCACTGAAAAAGTTATAGATTCAATAAACATAAATGGTGTAAATCCAACAATGAGTCAACCAAAACAAGGCTCTAGACCCATTACCTATTTCCAACAATCCCCCACTAATGCGAGCGGATCTTCAACATGAAATCTGAACAGTAAATGAAAGTCTTAGTACTTAAATGCTAGTATCCAAAGGTTTGAACTAACACATTAGTGCACAAGGTTTTCAACACTTCCCTAGTGAGTATCCTAAGATTTGAACTCCTAGGAGCGAGGAAGGGACCTTGAACGCACATACTTTGACTTTAGAGCTTAAGCAACTCAGCCAATCTAGGCCAACACTTGGGCTCTCATGAGTACTTCAGGAAAACAATACTTCAGTCTTCCCTTGAGAGAGGCCACCTCTCGTACTCACGTAGGTTTTCATCCTATGTGTTACTCACACACGTTCCCAGCAAATTCAAAGGTCTTTCCCTGCAGGCTTAAACATGTTTAAGCACCTTGCAAACCTAAGAAATCCATGCAGTGGAACTAGAACATTAAGAACATAAGTTCAACCCTTCAACTTTCGATGTCATTATCTATCCTGTTTTAAGAGCCACTGGGACAAAGGTCTTAACTCTTTAAGAACCTCCACCTATCCCTGCTCAGAAAACAACTGGACTAATGACATTAAGAGATAAACTCATCCTAACATAATCAACTTACCACTCTTATAGAGTAATAGATTCAAACACATGATACACATATAACAAATCCACATGATTCATTGCAATGAAACAGAATAACCAAAACAGGTTCTTGATTTATTATAACCAATGTATCATGTCACATAGCTAGAATAGCTACCATTTCAAGTCATTACAACAAGGGTCCTAAACCCATACCAGCTGATGACTCAACCACTAGTCTATGACTCAAACCCTTAGTAAAATGGTCTGCCAGGTTTTTCTCTGTTCGAACATAGTCCAACGAAATAACCCCATTCACAATAACTGCCTCACGGACTCGTGTCTGACTCTTATGTGCCTTTTCTTACCGTTGTAAACCCTATTTTTAGCAACACATATAGCGGCTTGTGAATCACAATGCATAGAAACAGGTGGTGACAGCTTCCCCTACAAAGGAATATCAATAAGCAAATTTCTCAACCAATCTGCCTCTTGTGTAGCAAGATCCAATGCGATGAACTCAGCTTCCATAGTTGATCTAGCTATACATGTCTGCTTACCAGACTTCCATGAAATTGCACCCCCACTAAGGGTAAACACATAGCCACTTGTAGAGCTTGTTTCATCACTATCCGTTACCCAATTTGCATCACAATACCCTTCAAGAACCAAAGGATGACCAACAAAATTCAATCCCCAAGACATGGTTCCACATAGATATCTGAGCACACGCCTCAAAGCAACCCAATGTTTCTCACTAGGACAATGAGTATAGCGACTAAGTCTACTAACAGCAAAAGCAATATCAGGGCGAGTGCAATTCATCAAAAACATCAGACTACCAAGCACCTTACATATTCAGTTTGAGACACACCGTCCCCCACATTTTTCACCAAAGCTCCAGAAGGATCAAAAGGAGTTCTCAAAGGAGGCAAATCAAAACAATTAAAGTTCTTCAGAATTTTCTCCACATAATGAGACTGAGACAGAAAATACCCTTTCTTGGTTTTAGTAACTTTAACACCAAGGATCACATCTACCTCTCCCAAATCCTTCATCTCGAACTTTGAATTTAAATATTTCTTAGTTTCGTTTATGACACACATGTTTGTGCCAAACAGGAGCATGTCGTCAACATACAGGCATAATATCACACATTGCGCACCAAACATCTTAGAGTACACACATGCATCACTACCATTTACAACAAAACCAAAACTAAGAATAGTTTTATGAAATTTTTCATACCATTGCTTCGGTGCTTGTTTCAAGCCATATAAGGATTTCTTTAGTCTGCACACCTTATTCTCCTTCCGAAGAACTACAAAACCCGGAGGTTGTTCCATGTAGATCTCCTCCTCCAAATCACCATTCAGAAAAGTTGTCTTAACATCCATCTGATGCACAATCAAGTTGTAAGATGAAGCTAAAGCAAACAAAACACGAATGGTGGCAATTTTAGTCACCGGAGAATAAGTATAAAAATAATCAAGGCCAAACTTTTGAGTGAATCCTCTTATCACCAATCTAGCTTTGAACCTTTCCACGGTGCCATCGGTTCTCATTTTTCTCTTGAAAATCCACTTGCACCCAATAGCTCTGCTCCCTTTTGGCAGGTCCACAAGCTCCCAGGTTCCATTTGACATGATTGAGTCAAGCTCACTGTTTACAGCTTCCTTCCAGAAGGTTGCATCCATTGAACTCATAGCTTCTTCAAACGATTTTGGATCTTCATCCACAACCTGTAGAAACAACATGATCTCATCTAGATCATCTTCGAACTCACCTAGATTTCGCACTCTGCTATAAAGGCTGTTAGGAAATCAGGTCCAAAGCTTGTCTCCACTCTTTGCCTTTTACTTCTCCTAGGTTGAATCTCACTTTCAATCCTAGGGGATGTATCTTCTGGCTCTGCAGATGAAGGAACTGAAGAAACATCGTTTGTAACAAAATTTTTCTTCAAAGGAAATACATGTTCAAAGAACTCTGCATCACGAGATTCAGATATAGAGCGATCTTCCAGACTCATAAACCTGTATGCAGCACTATTCTCTGCGTAGCCAATGAACACTGTATCATAGGTCCTAGAACCTGTAGTTGAGCGCTTGAACGATGGATAGCCCACCTTAGCTAGACACCCCCACACTTTTATGTGATTCAAGTTTGGAGCATAACCCTTCTATATTTCATATGGAGTCTTGTCTAACTTCTTGTGAGTTACTCTGTTCTGTACATAATTAGCTGATAGAACCGCTTCACCCCACAAATTGTCTGGCAACCCGGAACTTAGGAGCATTGCATTCATCATTTCCTTAAAGGTCCTATTTTTCCTCTCTGCCACACCATTTTGCTGCGGAGTATACGGGGCCGAAACTTTGTGAATTATTCCCTCACTTTCACATAAGTCCTTGAGGAAATCTGAGCCATACTCTCCACCCCTATCTGAGCGAACTCTTTTTATATTCCGCTCCAACTGATTTTCAACCTCTTCCTTATATACAAGAAACTTGGACTCAGCTTCATCCTTCGTCCTCAAAAGATACACCCTGCTATATCTAGAACAATCATCAACGAAGGTGATATAGTAGTGTTTCCTGCCTCTACTTTCCAAGTTCTTAAAGTATGCTAAATCTAAATGAATTAGCTCAAGTGGTGTGGTCTCTCTCTTCGTGACAGATTTATAGGGTTTCTTCACGAATTTAGACTCCGCACACACTTCACATTTTTCAAATCCATCTAATGACATATTTGGGAGCAAATTTAAACTTTTCATTTGTTTCAATTTTGTTGCACCAACATGACCCAATCTACTATGCCATAATTCAATGGATTCAACAATATAAGCAGAAGTAGAAATCTTATTCATTGAAGGAACAGTTACAATCTCAAGAACAAATAGGCCCCCACTAAGGTAACCCTTTCCAACATACTCCCCATTACGGGTTAACACAAGTTTATTAGCATCAAAAACTAACTTAACTCCTACTTTGTTCAAAAAAGCACCAGAAATTAAGTTTCTACGAAGAGAAGGAACATACAGCACATTGTGAAGAGCCAAGGTCTTCCCTGAAGTCAGCTTCAGAACCACTTTGCCCTTTCTAGGTACCTCAGAGCTGCTTGAATTTCCCATGTAGACTTGTTCACCTTCCTTTGCATCTTCCATACTGACAAACATGTCCTTGTTAGCACAGAAGTGTTTAGATGCACCAGTGTCCACGATCCATTCACTGTTGTTCTCAACCAGATTGACTTCAGAAACAACTGCAGCAATGACATCTTCATCCTCATTCTCAACCAGATGAGCATGGCCCTTGATTCCTCCACTCGATTTTAGATTTTTCTTCTTCTTGTTTTTGTACTGTGAAGCAAAGTGCCCCACTTCACCACATGAACAACACTTTCCAGTGACTTTCTTCCCAATCTTGCCCTTAGCTTGGAGATTTCCCTTCTTCTCAGAGTTCCCCTTCTTGGCATGATTATCACTTGTTTTCTTGTTAGAGTCAGCACCAGATTCAACAAGGTTAGCCTTGATTGCTAACACATTTTTAGGCTTAGAGGAAACATCCTTAAGCCTATTGGCTTCCTCAATCTTCATGTGGATCACAAGTTCTTCTAGGGTTAGATCCCTCTTTTTATGCTTGAGGTGATTTCTATAATCAGACTAGGAATCAAGCAATTTTTCAATCAAGACATTAGCCTGAAGGATTTCACACATCTTCATACCCTGAGCAAGAATTTCAGCAACATAATTTTCATACACATGGACTTGGTCCATAATAGGCTTTGTATCAACCAATTTGAAATTCAACCAATTTCCAGTCACATACTTCTTTTTCCCAGCATCATCAGCACCATATTTCTTCTCTAAAGACTCCCACATCTCTTTAGCAGATTTTATATTGACATACAAATCAAAAATGTTGTTTTTCATGCTGTTCAAAAGATGACCTCTAACGAATTTATTATCACGATCAAATTTCTTGATTTCAGATTCATTAGCAATAATAGTAGTGATCCTTTGACTAGAACTAGATTCTTTATTCCCAGGAGCAGGAGTACTAGGAATTTCAATCATGGTATTGGTTTGCTCAATGGGTTTTGGAGCATCCCTAAACAAAACATAATCAATCTTACTTGTTCAAAAGCAATCAACATCCTTTGTGACCATCTCTTATAATTAATTCCATCAAGAGACTCAACCTTAGACAGATCTAGGTATAGACGAGTTTGAGAATTGCTAGTCATGATATCAACAGAATAAATCAAATTCTATTTCGCTTCTAAATTGTTGGTAATACAAGTGTTGAAATAAATAACAAACAATAAAAGATTAGAACTTTCCTGGATTGAAGATCCCAAACTCACAGTCGCGCCGTGGAACAATAATCCACTGCCTTAGAAGTGAAATACGCCACCACCGGTACAAGTTTCCTAGTGACGCCCCCCCCCCCCCAAGTTTAACGCAACTCTTTCTGTAGTCCGTGCACCCGAACTCGAAGAGTGGAATTGCTCAAGAACTGTTCAGATCTCAAAAGGTAGGTTTGTGTTTTCGGCTAGAAAAGTGAATAATGTCACGAAAAGGTAAGACTCGTATTTATATGAGTCCTAGAAAAGGAAACACGTAATCACACCGACCTAGGAAAAAAGGCGGGCCCGATCGGGCGAACTGCCGCCTGATCGGGCGCGAGATCAGGTTTTTCCAGACGTAGTGTCGCGCCCGGTCGAGCGATCTGAAATCCCCATTCCGGGCGAGCCATCGGGCAAAACCGCCCGATCGGGCTCGTCAAAAACTTGAGTCCGCCACCCGATCGGGCGAAGCCCGCCCGATCGGGCGCGAGACATCTCGTAGAAAAACTCTTGTCCGCCGCCCGGTCGGGTGAAGCCGCCCAATCGGGCGCGAGAGTTCCCGATTTTTCCTTGACCACCTTCGCCCGATCGGGAGAGAGCCGCCCGATCGGGCGCGAGTCATCCGTTTGCATTACTATTTCTAACATCTGGTACTCCTCCTTGAGCATCTCTACAGGGTTCGCTACGAAGCGAACCACGCCCCCGATCAAAGGGATCAGCCCTTTCACCACTGGTGGTAAGCGTTTGTCGCTCTTGATTAAGAGAGTTTTACGTATTAATTTTGTTGCTACAATAGTTGCCACAATGAGAAGTAATACATTGAACAATTGCAACTTATTGTTCATCATGTCTATTATTTCCATGATGTTTATTTGGGCTATTCAATCAATCACTAGTTAACTGTATTATATGAAGAATAAGTATATATTACGGAGTACTCTACTCTTAATAAAATATACTCGGTATGTGATATTTTGGGAAGACAATGTCATCGTTTACAGCAAAGCACTGCAACAGCTTAATATTTATATTTAATTAACGATCACGAATTCATGAGTTGGGGTTTTTCAGAGTTTTATAACTTTTATTGATGGTATTAGGTGACTTAGTTGCGTTCAAAATAATTAACATTATCCTTAATAAATGATACTCCGTACAAAATTTCAAATTAGTGTTCCTGTTTTATACCTCTAATACGTTAAATCGCACGGTAAATTTTTGTATTATTATCAAATTAACAATGTTTAATCATTACTGTAAACAAAAGGATTGGTCATAATGGCACCATCTATTGGCAAGGTGCGTACAATAAACTATCTTGTTTATTTTAATTTTTTTTTTAAAATCCGTTTATAATATATATATTTTTTTGAACCCACGTGAAATTGATTATTCCTTCTTTACTTTATAATACCTCACATGTCCTTAAAAGTATGTTTGGATTGAACGAAATGGAGAGTAAATATCTTTCATTTGAATAGCAAATTAGGGGTAAAGGGAATTAAAGGAGGACAGAAATCGAGGGATTAAATTATACCAAAATGATCCCTTCAACAATGGAGAGATTTGAAAGGAAAAACTCATCAATCTTCCTTTCCCTTTCCTCCCGTTCACCTCCTTCCCCTTCTTTTCCTTCCCTAACATTACCCGAACATAAAACCGTAAATTCGCAATTAAACTTTCTCATCCTCCACTATTCATCTTCATTTATGAACAATCACCGATGTTGATGACGTAAGCAATAATGTGAATTAAACTACTAAAATTTTTACTAAAATAGAACATAATCATGGAGAGCTTATTGGCTAAATATGTACAAAAAAGTTATGCATCTAATCATATGGTTTTTTTTTAGTAAAAATTGATTTAAAAAATTCGACCTTTGGCCCATTTATATCTAATAATCCAACCTTACCCAAATTTTGAGGGGTCTTCAATTCTATTAGGCCAAACGGTCATCAACCTAGCTATAATATCAAGTCATCATGCCATGTGTCACATTCAAATTCATTCACTATAACTTACATTTAAAAAATAAATATTTTTTTAATTTCCTTTTTTTCATTTTCTCTTATCTTTCTCTGTCCACTTCTTTCACCCTTCCGTTAAATCAACCCCTCCACCTTTATTAAATTAGTCGGCGACTTTCCCAACCGCTCCTCACCTCTCACTTTCCATAAGTTTTCCGACCATCATCCCCCTTCCCTTTTCCCCACAGCCACCTACCCACCCAAAACTGTGGCTTCAAATCCTAAAATAATCCCAGCAACCACCAAACCCTAAACCGCAAAACCCCTATACTTCCATTGATTCCAGTAGCGACAACACAGCGTCCTGTAATCCCATTAGAAGCTACGGTCAAATGTAAAGTCGTATCACTCCGATCCCCTATATGTTTATGTTGCCCTTGATGTTTTGATGATAACACAAGTCAAAGAAATGAACTAATTAATGCCTTGATAAGTTGTGTAGTTTGTTTATTATAAGTTGCAGGATTAATTCGAGGCAAAGGAACAGGAGCATACAAAATAAGAAGGCATGTTGCAGTGTTCCTGAAAAAGAACAGAAGCTTCGGAGTAGAAGCAGGAGAAAAGAACACTTGGAGCAGAGACTTCTTAGAGAATTATAAAGTTAAAAATATTTTATGTTTAGGTTTTATGAAAGTGAGAATAATTAGGAGTTAATACTTAGTGGAATGCGTTTTAAATTTGTTTAAAAGATAGAATTTCTTTGATTGCTATAAAATAGGAAAGTTGGTTTTGAAAATATCTTGGGAAATTCTCTTTGGTAAACTCCAACTTTTTAATTTTCTTAGTGGTGAACAAAGTTTTAAAAAATTATCTTTGGTACTCATAAACTTTTTATACTTATTACGTATGAAATTAATTATTATATTTTATTATAAATTTAACTATAGTTAGGTTTTTTTTTAACAATAATATTTAACTAAAGTTAGGTTTTTAATTACTTTTTAACAATTTAATAATTAAACTAAACTTAAAATAATTAACCACCCCTTCCCCCACCCACTGACAAGCTTCCCCTCCCTCTGCCGGCGGCTGGCACCCCTACCGAACCCCTGGCGCCGGTGACGCCTGACCTGAAACCCCTGACCTATCCCGACATCTCCCAAACCACCACCTCGATCTAACCCCCACTAATTAGCCACCTTATCCCAACAGCCTCCCCAGATTACCCACCTAACATCCTCGCCACCACCGACGCCTGACCCGAAACCTCTTCGCCGGCAGCCGAAGTCCCCTCCCCCACGTCGCTGCCGCCCACCATAGCAAAAAATCACCACCTCAAAACCCTAAAACCCCAAAATCAAAACCCTAAAATTCGATTACGGGGCTTTTAATTTTGGGGTTCGACTTAGTGTTTTAGAGGGTGGAGATGGTAGGAGGAGGGGCAGTTCGGGTTCGCTGGTGCGGGGTTGAGAGTTTGGACACCAACGGTGGGGAGGGGAGTGGTTTTTGAGGGAGTTATTGGTTCATGCCGGGGAAATGGGTTTGGGTTTTAGGGGAGAGTGGAGGTGTCACAGGTGGAGGAGAGGGAGGAGGTAGGGGCCACCGGCGCTAGGGGAGGAAGTTCGCCGGTTTTCGGCCGTCGGGAGGGGGCTAGGTTGGGGGAGGGGACTGGCAGTGGAATTGGGGAGGGGTTGGGTTTTTTTTTTTTAATTTCAATATAATTTAAAAATAAAAAACTAACTATAGTTTAGGAAATAACACTTATCAATGGTAATCAATCATTTTAGTTTATTTACCATTAATAATAAAATTTAAGAATGTTTGCCACTTAGAAAATGAAAAAGTTGGAGTTCACCAAAGAGAATTTCCCAAATATCTTCTCTGATTTTATTCCAAATAAATATCTTTTTATTTCGCTAAAGATATCTTTCAAAAATATTGCAAAACTTATTTTCTAAACCTGCGCAACTTACTGTTGATTGAGTCTTCTCCACTTAATGAAGAAACTGCTTCTAAGAGGTTCAATGTGCCCTTGTTTTAGGACATGTTTGTTGCTCTGGAAGTGGTGGAGAAAAGTGGCGTTAATGTGCAACAATAGTGGTCTAAGTATGGAGGTTGTGGAGTTTTAATCAAGCTATGTTTTCCTATAAATATCAAAGTTGTTTTCTGGAAAACTTCACCTTGCTCAATCATAATTTTCTATCTTCTTTGTTTTCTAAAAGAAGAGTCACCTTCTACTTAAGTTGTCAATTTCCTTAATTACTTTCACTAGAGTATGTTCCTTTGAGTTGTATTTGGGAATTGGGAGTTTGAGTGAACTCTAAGAGAAGTCAGAAGAGAAATAGAGAGAAGAGAAGAGCAGCAAGTAGAGGGACTTGCTGCTGGGAACTTCAAGTTCATTGAGGAGCTTAAAGCTAGACTCTTTAGCTTGTAATAGGTTGTTTGCCCTATTATAGTGAAGAATCTTTCCTAAAATCCCAAGTGGTCATGGTTTTTCCTCTTGTTAGGGCCAAGAGGTTTTCCACGTAAAATCTCTTTGTGTGACTTTAAAGTTCCTTTAGCTTTGTTTTATCAATTCTAAACAAAGTTAGCTAAATTCTCCCCAACTATAATTCACCCCCCCTCTTGTAGTATTCTTCTAAAGTAACAGTTTATACTTGAGGTATATACGTTCCAATTAGCGTTTTGGTGCCCAATCTCTTTCACGTTACATTAGTTACATTTTAGACTTGGTGATGACTCTCAATCCACAACATAATCAATCAATACAATTTATTCAAGTAATCAAACATTCCAATTTATTCATTCAATTATATTCTAGAATAATTAGTGATCACAAATAACGAAATGGTGAATCTTTTTTATACTACTTTAGTGTTAAAACACCTTAAGCGCATAATGCAGTAAATTCTATCCCTCGGTGTTTATAAGACCTTAAATGCACGTAGGCATCACAATATAACTTATCCCTCTGTACTAAGACAATACACTTAATAGCTTAATTCTCATGCTTATAGAAGCAATAAAAATTATATGTAATATAATAAAATTCCATTTTATTATTTCAAATGAAATTAAACATTGAGTTTAATCAAATAAGCCTTTAAAAATACCATGAAAAAAGTGTGGTTCATATACACTATTCTAAACATCGTAAATTTCACAAATAATTCATTTCAATTAAATCATGCCTAAAAGTTTACTCATATTCATTTCACAAAAATTTTAAAATAAAATGATTTAATGAGTAATAATGATTTCAAGAAACACATCTTATCTTTTTTCCTATCATTTATTCATTAGTGAGCATCTTTTGTGTCTTCCCAAAAACCAAATTAAGTGATGAGTACTTTTCAAGTCTTTGGTTATCGAGTTCGGTGAAAAGTTAAAGAGTCTCCTGAATTTCCCCATCTCTAGTCTTTATTTACATGTTTTAATACAAAATCATTCATTTCGTGTCCTTAAAATCATTTATATTGTGTTCTCTTTGTTAAAAATCCAAACCAGTTTATTTTACTCTATAATCAGGATTTAATGATTGTGTAGGTTGATGGGGCTTGAAAAAAGCTTTCCAACAATATCCTATAAGCCCAAATCCGAGTTATAACGAATGAGTTATGACTAAAATACTAAACCGAGCGCAAACTGAGCCTTTTATGCTGCCCAATGATTATGTGGAGGGTTCATTAACCTAACCTCATTCATAATCCTATTAGGATTTATCACACGTTTCTAGAATTATCTAGAAGACTTTTTTTTTAATCCTAAATCAATTAGGATCGATTATTATTTTCTTGAATCTTCTATAAGGTCCTAATTTATCTAGTTAATGAAAAGATAAAGATTAAGAACTTTATATCGGATAAAAATTTGTTTTAATTAGATTAAATTCT